TTTGCATGTAATGGGGTTTAATGTTGTTGGAATGCAACTATGGATATTAAAGCTTCTGAATTTGATTTTAAAAAAAGTTTGAATCTTTCGGATTTTTTTTTTTGTTCATTTCCACAAGGCTTAAAAAATTTGCTTGTACGAGTTTCTGAAGCTTTTGCTTTAATTAGCTTCTGATCAATTGGTAGTAGTAGCTGCAGTGGCTATGATTAGAATCTGATTGTGTTTAGCTGTTGTTTATGTACCTATAATAACAGTCGTACTTTTTGTGTGGTAACTCTGTAGAGATGCAGATTTGCTCAGAAGAATCGGAGCTGCGACAGCACTTGAAGTAAGGGCTAGTGGCATTCACTGGACGTTTGCTCCCTGCGTGGCCGTAAGTCCCTTATAGATTGTTAAAATGTTGGATTAACGATTTGTAAAATATTGAATGAAAACTTGTTTACTCAAAGGTTTTGGGAGATCCGAGGTGGGGACGATGCTATGAGAGTTATGGTGAAGCTACTAAAATTGTTTGTGAGATGAGTTCGATTATCTCGGGTCTACAAGGCGAACCACCCGAACAACACCCTAGCGGTTACCCTTTTCTTGCAGGAAGGTACACGATATATATAAACATATAATGCTCTACACTTTGATAGGCTTGCTGTCATTTCTCATGGCTTTGTTCATTTGGTCATAGAAACAATGTGGTTGCATGTGCGAAACACTTTGTTGGAGATGGTGGTACCGATAAGGGCCTAAGCGAAGGGAATACCATTGCGTCGTATGAAGACTTGGAGAAAATACATGTTGCTCCCTATCTGAATTGTATTGCTCAGGGAGTCTCTACCGTTATGGTCTCTTTTTCAAGTTGGAATGGAAGTAGACTCCACTCTGACTATTTCCTCTTGACGGAAGTTCTCAAACAGAAACTCGGTTTCAAGGTTGACTGAATATGAAAAAGAATCAAAATAAGCTAGAGGGGTACGCATCAAGATCGTTTAATTTACTTTTGTTTTTTTGTAACCAGGGATTTCTAGTTTCAGACTGGGATGGTTTGGAGACGATTAGCGAGCCACAAGGTTCAAACTACCGTAACTGCGTCAAACTTGGAATTAATGCTGGAATCGACATGGTACTGAACCATTTTCATCTCGTATCGGGGTGATTGAAAGAGACGAAGATTGTTAATCAATTTTATTGCAGGTGATGGTACCTTTCAAGTACCAACAGTTCATAGAAGACCTTACCGATCTGGTTGAGTCAGGGGAAGTACCAATGGCTCGAGTCAATGATGCTGTTGAAAGAATACTCAGAGTGAAGTTTGTTGCTGGTCTCTTTGAACATCCATTAACAGAGCGATCTTTGTTGCCTACTGTTGGTTGCAAGGTTAGTTCTCTCTAGTTGGTGCCACTATTGTAAGATGTATAAAAACGTGATTGAATCTCCTTTCCACGGCTGCAGGAACATAGAGAAGTGGCACGTGAAGCAGTTAGAAAGTCGTTAGTCTTGCTAAAGAACGGCAAAAATTCTGATAAGCCATTCATGCCGCTAAATCGTATGGCCGAGAGAATTCTAGTGGTTGGAATGCACGCAGACGATCTTGGAAATCAGTGTGGAGGATGGACAAAGATAAAATCCGGTCAAAGCGGCAGGATCACAATTGGTAACTAAAGCGTTTTCCAATCGCAGACGCTAATAGATGATGTCGAAAATTGATACGAACCTTTAATATGTTTTTTTGGTTTTCAAATGAAGGCACGACACTCTTGGAAGCCATAAAAGCAACAGTTGGAGACGAAACCGAAGTAATCTACGAGGAAACTCCATCAAAGGAAACTTTAGCCTCGAGTGAAGGCTTCTCCTACGCCATTGTTGCAGTAGGGGAACCTCCCTACGCAGAAATGAAGGGAGATAACTCAGAACTCACAATACCCTTCAACGGTAGCGACATTGTAACCGCGGTTGCAGAGAAAATCCCGACTCTAGTGATCTTGTTCTCAGGACGGCCTATGGTTTTGGAGCCGAGGGTTCTTGAAAAGACTGAAGCTTTGGTCGCTGCTTGGTTCCCCGGAACCGAAGGGCAAGGGATTGCTGACGTCATTTTTGGAGATTATGACTTCCAAGGGAAGTTACCAGTGAGCTGGTTTAAACGCGTTGAGCAGTTGCCGATGAACGCCGATGCCAAATCGTATGACCCATTGTTTCCTCTTGGGTTCGGTCTCAATTGCAATTCTTGAGAAGATTCAGAACCAGTTCAACTTCATCGGTCTGATTAAGGATAAGGGGGAAAATAATGACATGATTAAGGGTATATGATTAAATATAGTTCTTAGTTTTCGGAGACTCTTGGTTTCTTCTCAATCTCTGGCATGTTTTATGTTTTTTTCCCACAAATCTGTATTGTAATTCTATAAAAAAAGCGTAATATTCACATTGGTTTTTACGTATATGTGAGTTATGGCTATCCACTATAGGAAAATCGGATTATTCGTGTTGGTACTTCATATCAGTGTCATCAGAACGACCTGAACGTTAAAAGTTTGTATAATATACGGTTTAAAATTTTAAGATTTATGTTTTAAATATTTAATTAGGGTATTTTTGCAAATAGATATTTTATTGTGGTATTTTTGAAAAATAACACAGCAAAAGTGATATTTTTGCAATTGTCCATTTTCACAAACCATTTTTAAAAATATAATGCATTATAGGGTTATATCTTTTCGAGAATAAACCATTTTATGGTTATTATAGTCGCGTCTTTTCCTAGAAATAAATGTTTTAATAGTGTATTAATGAATCTTATCCGGTTGCTTCTTTTCGAAAAAACGGTTTTATAGTTATCAATAATCATATATTGTGTCTTCTTTAAAAAACTCGTTTATTGTTGCGTCACATTCTAATAATTTTTTGGTCTTTTCATTTATGTATAACAAATTTTCCATAATTCTAAAAAATAGTTTCTAGTGTTGTGTGTTTGCATATACTTTTTCATCTTTTCATTTCTACCATTAAAACATAACAAAATGTTTTATATTTACATTGTATATTTATTTATTATTAGATTAAATATATTTTTAATTATTTTTTAACAAATAACTCTTTCCTCCAATTTTGCGAAGGCCTGACTCCTAGTTATAAGTTAATAACAAATGTACATATATCCAATTTTTTGTTATTATTCGTAAGTACAATAATTATTCTTTTTTTTTTCATGCAAAGCATACATGTCACATCAAATTAATAAATCCATTCTTCTTATTTTTTTTTTACTAGAATAGGAACCGCTTAATACACGGATAAACA